CCGCACCTGGGGGAGCAAGGGCGGGACATAAGTGGTATCCAGGTATCCACAGTAATGCAGATGTCAGATACATAGTGGGAGAGAAAGGGAGGAGAGAGGGGACAAGGAGAGGAAGATGGTAGCAAAAATATGTGATGTAGTGGTGGGTGTATGGTGGTTCAGAGAGGCTGAGATATTTTGTGGGGAGAGAGAGGAAAGGAAGGGAGCAAGAGACTGCTGAAGAATGAACGACGACTGTGGAGAGCTGCAGTCAAGTATGGACTAGGAGGGAGTGAGAGTTGAGGCGGTCCAGGATGCTTGGTTGGAGCAGCACTCTATAGTGAAAATCTCAGTCAGGCATCGATAGAGGGAGTACGTGAGGAAGTGACGAGTAGGGGAGGAGGGAGGGAGGAGGGAGGGAGGAGGGTGGGAGGAGGGTGGGAGGAGGGTGGGAGGAGGGTGGGAGGAGGGTGGGAGGAGGGTGGGAGGAGGGAGGGACCTGCAAGCCGGTGTCATCCTTGTCATAGTGCGCTCTGATGGCTGATGCCATCACGTCTGAGATATTCCGCACGCTCACTATCACCTGCAGTGAGGGGCAGCAAAAGTGCGGAAAGGAGGGGTGGGGGGGAAGGAATGGGCAGGCAGGGAAATGAAGATCTGATGCCATCGCGAAAAAGAGAAAAGAAAGAACTACTCAGATGCAGGTGATATTGAGCGTGCAGGTGATAGTGAGCGTGCAGGTGATAGTGAGTGTGCAGGTGAGAGTGAGTGTGCAGGTGATAGTGAGTGTGCAGGTGATAGTGAGTGTGCAGGTGATAGTGAGTGTGCAGGTGATTGTGAGTGTGCAGGTGAGAAAAGAGAAAAGATGAGGCTTCACAGTCAAAATCGTGTAGAGCCTGTTTTCGAGTCAAGACGAGTCGCCTCAAAAACAGGCTCTTCACACACAGTCAATATCACGATCACCGCACAGATGGAGAGGAGAGGAGCAAGTGGGGGTGAGGTGGGCAGGCAAGCACGGGAGTGAAGGCAATGCCATGCCGTCAGGAAGGTTCGTCACACTCACGATTGCCCGTAGGTTGGGGTGGGCGCGTGGTGGAAGACAAAAGACACCAGCGGTTGAGGAATGCAGCAGGCAGCAGGCAGCAGGCAGCAGGCAAGCAGCGAAGCAGGCAGCAGGCAGCAGGCAGCAGGCAGCAGGCAGCAGGCAAGCAGCGAAGCAGGCAGCAGGCAGCAGGCAAGCAGGAAAGCAGGCAAGCAGAGAAGCAGGGCCCACCTTGAGGCGGTAGAGCAGGCCGTGGTAGAGGCCGAGGGAGACGAGGTCAGGGCGGGCGAGAGGCGTGCGCAGGGAGGCACCCATGGGGAAGGAGGAATTGGCTAGCAGCAGCACTGGCGCGCGCCTGCCCTGCCGCTGCCTCAGCCCTGCTGATGCCTGCACCTGGTGGGGTGAAGGGGAGTGGAAGGTGGTGGGGGGGAGTGGAGGGTGTGAGAAGGGAGGGTGGGAGAGTGAACAGGTTGAGAAGGGAGTGGAGATGCGGAAAGGGGCAGGCGGAGGAGGGGCAGGCATTGAAGGAGAGGAGAATGATAGTGACTGATTGAGAGAGGTGAGAGCAGGGGTGGGAAGCATGAGAGGTAAGCTAGCGTGCTGGACATATCTGACAACAGCCTTCCAATAAACTCTCAACAGTAGCTCCTTGCGTTCCACATCCGACGCTCTCGCTCCACTCCTCAAACTGCTCTGCCTCCGATTTGATCCTCCTCTTAGCAACCACTCCCCCCCCATCCCCTCTTCTCCTTACATCCCACCCACCTCCTTCCCACCCACCGATCCACACCCACCTCATTCCATCACACCCACCTGCAGCGGGGCAATCTTGGAGGAGATAAGCGCAATAAGGTTACTTGCGAGTCGACCTAAAAACTCGCCCATCCACCCCCGCGCCCCCTCACTCCCACCCACCCACCTGCAGCGGAGCGAGCTTGGAGGAGATGAGAGCAGCGAGGTCGGACGCCTGCCGCGAGTACTCTATCCTCGGGCACTCCGTGTAGATCTTGCGCCCGGGCAGCGACATGTCCACGATCTGCGCCTGGCTGCGCGTCAGCAGCAGCTCTGTTTGGTTCCACTCGGACTCTGGCTCGGCCATCACTGCCGCGCTCTGCTGCTGCCGCTGCTGCTGCAGCCCTTCATGTAGCTCGCTGTAGGTGAGGGGAAGGGACGGGGGAAGTGGGGGCGAGGGGAAGGATAGGGGGAAAGGAGGATTTTTTTTAGATGTGACTTTGCCCCACGAGCTGCTGCTGCTGCTTCACCCGGGCAGCGACATGTCCACGATCTGAGCCGCACTGCGCGTGAGCAGCAGCTCTGTCTGGTTCCACTCGAACTCTGGTTCCGCCATCTCGCCCGCGCTCTACTGCTGATGGTGATGGGGATGCTGCTGCTGCAGCCCTGCGTGTAGCTCGCTGCGGGTGAGGGAAAGGGGAGGGGGAGGGGGTAGTCGGAGCGAGGGGAAGGGTAGAGGAAGGGAGGGGGCCAAGTGGGGGATTTTTTTTTTGGGTTGAATCAGAGGGCACCTTGGTCATCTCCCCCGCCTGCTGCTGCTTCTGCTGCTTCACCGCTTGATACAGCTAAACATAGCACCCAAACCCTTCCCACCTGAACAGTGCATTCAAACCCATCCTGGCGTCTCACCGCATTCCACACCATCCCACCACATCACCGCATTCCACCCCATCTCACCTGAACAGCGTGTAGAACACGCCCTGTCCCGCTGTCTCCAACCCCGCTATAAAATACAGCACCGGCAGGCTGTGTAACCGCGACTCGGCCTCCGGCTTTTCCAAATAATCCACCACGCGACACGCCGTCGGATGCGGCGCCTCGGCCTGCGGCACGAGCGTGACAGCGAGGAGCGAGCTAATGAGCGGCGCGAGAACGAGCGTCACGGCCAGGAGCAAAACGGCTTTCACCGTCGCGCCGAACGCGGGAGCGAGGAAGGAGGAGGCGGCGCGCAGAGACGCGCGGAGCGCGGGGGGAAACGGGGGGAAGGGGGGGAGCGCGGAAGCGGCGGAGGCGGAGGAGGACGAGGACGCGCGGTCGGTGCTGCTGGCGCTGGGGGAGGATGACGCGGTGCAGGACGTGATGACGTCACGGATGACGGACCAATCGGCTTTGAGTAGCTTCTTCACGTGCGGATGATGGTAGATCGCGGCGAAAACGGCGAGTAACCAGACGTAAGTCGCACGCAATCTCTGGCGAACGAAATTCGTGGCGGTATCTGTGGCAGCAGCAGCGGTACTGGCAGCAGCTTTCGCGGTTGCGGACGCTTTCGACGCGGCTTTTGCGGCGGCTTTTGCGGCCGCTTGGGCTGTCAACGTTGCCGCGGAAGCGGCGGCGGCGGAAGCTGTGGGTTTCGCAGCTGCATCGGGGAGAGCCATATTGTATGAGGGAACGGAGAGCTAGAAGCGCGCCAAAACGCGCGCGAAAGGAGAGGGAAACAAGCAAGTATGGCTAAGCCGGAGCCGCGAGAAGGCGAGTGCACAATGCGTGCACGATTCCCGCGCGACGCGAGCACGATGCGCTGACAATGTCGCGGGTGGGACGTCAGACTGACTAGGCTCTAAATGCAGGGAGTGAAAGTAGGCGTTTGAGATTCCAAATCACGGAATAGAAATCCCGTCTTCTTCGTTCTCTCCTCATGGTCTGTCGGACGCTGGACAATGGGAGCTCCTCCTTAGTCGAATTTCAGGCAACAGGTCTGTAAGATCCCTCAAACCTAAGAAGCCACCTAATGGTTTCGCACGAATTGCGCGAATGACGAGCACTACTCGAGGCGGAAATTCAAGGAGCCAATTAATCCTACTCCACTTGAAATGGAAAGGAAGCCCGTGTCGCGGATAAAGGCACGAAACATATAAGGGCTGAGATGATAAGCAGTGAGAAAATGGGCTTTTGGGTTGGTGGGTGGAGCTTTTATTTCCAGATTACTGACAGACGATCAGCAACAGTGGTGCTGGTGGCTGGGGCATGGGTGGGATGGGATCATGGGACAGCAGCAGGATGGTGAAGCGCATACACGATGCTTCGATAATCCCATGAAACAAACATTTCAGTGAATTTTTAAAGTTCATACATATGGGGTGCTAACTGTTGATGCCCAACCAATCAAAATACAGAGTTGTGTGGTCTCGACTAGATCTCGTCTCACTCATCATAACCACCTTGATGTTGCCACGTATCATGCCCAGCCTTGCAGGTACAGTACACTGAACCACACATTCAAATTTCGCGTCACAAGCACCTTGATATTACCAGTACTCTCTTTCTTCGCGAACGGCAGATTCCTTTCGTTCGGGCTGAGTAACACCACCTTTCCTTGCTTCACCTTCTATCATATCTGTGAGCTTGGCCTGCAACCAGCTCTTAATTGTTCGACACGTTTCCTCTCGTGGTAGCGCGATTGTCGCGTGCCATGCGCGGAGCAAATGGGAGTAATGGTGGGTGTTCGCACCGTCGCAGGAATGCACAATCATCGCACCATTTCAACTTCGCATAGTCCGCAGAGTCCAATCGCATTCTCGAACCATTGGCGATTACTTGCCTCCGCTCACCTTCCCTCCGCTCTCCCGCACTTCCCTCCCTCCCAACCACCCCCTGCGCGCCCTTTCCCCCATCTTTCCCCCCGCATTCCCCCATTCCCACCTTTTACCCTCTCCGCCAGGCTGCCCGCCCCACCGCCTTCCCGTCCGCAGTCCAATTAGCTTCCGCGTACCACCGTCGCGCGCAGCTAAGCACTAGCAGGGGGATAAGCATAGGCGGCAGGACAAGGATCAGCACAAGGGTAACCAGTGGCTGTAGATCAATCAGAGACGGACGAATAGGCAGAGTAAGCACTGATAGGAGAATCGGCAATGGCGGAAGGGGCGACACGAGGAGGCGGACTAGAGAGTCACGGACGGTAGCTGCTGCAGCAGCAGGGGAGGCTGCAGGGGAAGACGCTGCAGGGGGGAAAGAGGCGGGGGAGCGGAGAATGGGAGGAGGGGATGCGGCGAGTGGGGACAGCAGCGGCCATGGCGGTGCAATGGAGTTCCCGGTGTTCTGTGTGCAGTGGGCTGTGCTGCCAGGCGCCTCTGACTCCCTCCACATCTTCATGCCCCACTACGTCCTCAGTAATAATCCGCCTCTGCCTTTCTGTTTGGAAGTTCTCGAGTTGTCAAGAGTCTCAAGTCACCATCAGTAATGATTCCTGGGCTGTGCTGCCGGGGGGCTCTAACTAAGTCTTTAGTAACGCGCCCCTCCCTTTGACTCATGATTCCCCCCGGAGTCTTCATGCCCCACCATGTCCTCAGTAACTTTTGAGCGTTTTTGGGTTCTCAAGTGTGATTCGCTCCTGCTCGTCCCCCCAGGAACCTCTGGTTTCCCCGGTGTCTTCATGCCCCACGATGTCCTCAGTAATGCGCCCCTCCCACCCACCATTCCACCCACCGTTCTACCCACCATCTCACACACCGCCCCATCCACCTAACCCTCCATCCACCCTTCTTAGCCCACACGAGTCCTTCTTTCTCCTCCTCCAACAACCCCACTCCACCATCTCCCCTCTTCCCACGTCTCTCACCCGCAGTGTTTGAGAAGCTCCTAGCTGGCCCACCACCACACCTTTACGTGCATCTTCTCCTGCCCACCACTCTCCGCCGCCCGCCACCCGTGCTGCCGCTCTCCCGCAGCAGCAGCAGCAAGAGCAGCCGTGGAGGAAGCAGCGGGAGTGGCAGTGGGAGCAGCGGCGAGAGCAGTAGTAGAAGTGGCGGCGGCGGCGGCGGCGGCGGCAGCAGCGGGAGGGAGATGGCGAATGAGCAGGGAGGGGTGAGCGGAGCAAGGAAGAGGAGGGGCAGAGAACGGAGAACATCACTGACAGACACTCTCACAGGCCGCATTGGCACCCTCATGCACGTGGATAAGGTGAAGAGGGGGGGGTGCATGCGGGACAAGGGAAATTAGGGTGGGAGGGGCTATTTCGACGCCCTTCAAACCTCTGCCGTTGTGCATCCACCCAACCCCAACCTCAACGTCATCCCCACTTCTTTGCGTCGACTAAAAATTCCTCCCTCACCCACACCCCCACCCCCACCCCCACAGGTGAAGCGCTTCTCTGATGGGCGTATGCTCATTGACAGCACTGCCATCACCACTGTGCGAGTCAACCACCTGTTGCAGGTACCTACCAGTGTCCCACCATCCACCACCCCCCCTCCGTCCCCTCCCCTCCCTTGACCTACCACCCACCTCAACATTCCAACCAGCTTCGCTGTGTTTGAGGCATCTGAGTAACCGCCTGCAGATGAACCCCCTAACCCCCTCGACCCCTCGACCCCTCGACCCTTCAACCCCTCGACCCCTCAACCGCCTCATCCCCCCATCCCCCCCTCTCTCTCCATCACCCCGCTTCTCCTTCCTCTTCCTCCTCTACTCCATCCTGTCGCTCCACTGGCTGGTACGCCTCAGCCCAGCCTCTCTCATAGGCCTCCTTGCGCCTCTGCCCTCTTGGCTTCCCCTGCAGACCATTCCGTACTGCCAAGCGCAGGTGCAGGAGGCACAGGTTTCTGAGGTGACTCTAAATCCCTCCTTCCCGTCCCCTCTTCGCCATTTTTGCAGACAATTCCATACTGCCAAGCACTGGTGCAGGAGCAGCAGGACCAAGAGGCGCTGCTGCTAAACGCCTTCATTGGAGGCCTGGAGTGGACCGAGGAGGACGAGGGGGAGGAGGAGGAGGGGAGAGGAGAGGAGATGGGAGAGCAGGAAGGAGAGGAGGGAGAGGGAGTGGGAAGGGGAGAGGGAGGGGAAAGGGATGGTGGTGCCGCTGGCATGGCAGGGAGTGTGGATGGTATGGGGAGGGTGTTGCACAGGGGCCCACCCAACAGCATCAACAGGCGTGCTCTGCAGCGACTCTCCCTGCGCTTGCAGCGGGGAGAGGCTCGCCTCTGGGCTCTTCTGCAGCAGGTGCGGTGCGGAGCAGTGCAATGAGGTATGGTTTGGTGCGATGCGATGCGGTGCGGTGGGGTTTGGTGTGGTTTAGTGTGGTGCCGCTTTTGTGTCGCTTGCTGTGCTGTGTGCTAGACTAGCTACCTCACACAACCGCACAACACCCGTCCTTCTCTCCCCTTTCTCTTCCCCTACTTTCCCCCTTTTTTCTCCCCATTCCTCCCCTTCCTGCCCCCCCACCAGACAAGAGACCTCTCCTCTCGCCTACGAATGGATGGCTCCTTCCCCCCGCTCCCCCCGGCACTGCTCCCTCTACTACCCCCCCGCTCACACCATATGAACCCCTCTTTTTTGGGCGGAAGCATGCTGGAAGGGGCACAGGCACAGCTAATGGCACTGGATGGGCGCGCATGGGGAAAAGAGGGGGGGAAAGCAGAGGGTGGGGGAGAGGCGGAGGGGGAAAAGGGGAAGGGGGAGCAGCAGGGGGAGGAGGAGGTGGGAGAGGGTTGCAGGAATGAGGGGGGCGAGGGGAGAGAGGGGGGAGAGGAGGAGCGGCAATCAAAAGATCCAGCACAGGGCACGCAAGGAAGCAGCAAGGCACAAGGCAAGAAAGAAACACCAGAAACACCAGGAGGTTTACACCAAGAGGGCAGAAGGCAAGAGGAGGTTGCGAGGCAGGAGAAAGGGCATGGTAAGGGGGGGCGTGAAGGAGCAAAGGAGGTGGGGGCGATGCGCAGAGAGGAGCCGTTGCTGCTGGTGCGGCGGGTGCAGCAGCTGTCATTTGCGGCTGCTGCTGCTGTGCAGGGTGGCGTGGAGAGGAGTGAGGGGCGGCAGCAACTTCTGGAAGCGAGTAGTATCACTCAACGCATTGGCATCCTCACAGGTGCGTGGGGCGGGTGAGTGACATGGCAGGGTGTGAGTGGGTGACTTAGTGTTATTATTGTAATTACATGGCTGTGTGCGTGCTTGTTTGCGCGCGTGTGTGTGGAACAGGGAGAGTGGGAGAACCCTTGGTGGGGCAGGGTGTCTCCCATTCGAGGATTAAAAGAAACTCTTCATGCTCTCCCATGTTCGATAGAACCGACTCACCAGCAGCTATGCACCAATGCTCGGGTCAAAGCATCCTGTATCAACTTACTGGTAGATTAAACTTTGCAACAGGGTGTGTGGTAGCCTGAGACCAGGTAATTGCTGGGTGCCTTTGAACAGCCTGATAGACACTCTCCCCTCATTCACCTGTCCTCTCCTGTGTGTTTGATTGTCACCGCACCACACCGCACCACCACCAGCTCTATTCCTGCGGAGTCGCAGTGAGCTTCTCGCTCGAGTGGCCATCAAACGAACATTCTCCGACTGAGCGATGCGCGTGCACATGACGTGACGTAATGTGATGTGATGTGATGTGAGTCGTGGCACTGATTATATGTTTTGACAGTACAATACAAAGCCACAAGCACTGCTATCATCTCTGCTGTACCTAGTGATTGTATCAGATGCAAATACTTATTCACTGTACCTGTTGCGTGTAATGGAATAATAGTTCGATGCTATTGATATTGAGAGCCTAGTGATTAGCTTCAATACACTCAACTGGCAAGCTATGTCTGGTAGGATAGTACCTAATTGGAATCTGCTCAAGATGACCAGCTGGATCTCAGCTCAGCTCAGCAAGGAGCAGTTTGGCTTGTGTTATTCTAGGCTACTACGTAGCGCATGGTCCCTTAAAGAATAGCTGTTTTGTTTACCACTGGTCCATTGGTCCACTCACAACTGAGCATTTCTGCCCATGCAAGCTATGGTTGGTATTGATGGTGCATAAATGCAACATACCGGTAGCTAGGGTAATGTTCAACGGCATTACAATGACATACGGTAGGCGGGAGCTCAGGCGTGTTCCTGGTACGGTACTGCCGGTACTCAGAGAGACCACTGCAGAGAGTGTAAGGGCGGTAGAAGAAATTAATGCTGAGAGTATCGTATCTGGAAGAGACCACTACTGACATATGGCAAACGAGTGACTAGAAATTAGAATCAAACCGGATGCGGCGGGACCACAACCCAGAGCAGCAGAACAAAGGTGATGCGACGCGGTGTGCATGCAGTGCCACACCCCTTCACCCCTCCTCTTTCCTCCTCCCTCAAGCTGTTCACAGCCTGCAGATTGCATGCCACACCATGACATGCCACACCATGACATGCCACACCATGCCATGCCACACAACGCCATGACACACCATGCCATGCCACACCATGCCAGCCACATCATGCCATGCCACACCATGCCATGCCACACCATGCCATGCCACACCATCCCATGCCACACCATGCCATGCCACACCATGCCATGCCACACCATCCCATGCCACACAATGCCATGCCACACAATGCCATGCCCACCATGCCATGCCACACCATGCCATGCCACACCATGCCATGCCACACCATGCCATGCCATACCATGCCATGCCACACCATGCCATGCCATACCATGCCATGCCACACAATGCCATGCCACACCATGCCATGCCACACCATGCCATGCCATACAATGCCATTTCACACGATGTCATGCCACATCGGAGATTATGCGAATACATTTGTCAACATGTTAATTAGGCTTTCACCCGTCCAATACCCAGTCACTCACCTCAGAAATAATCCTTTTCACTCACCTCCTTTCGCCAGTCCTCTCAATGCATTTCCCCTCTACTCCCCTCCGCTCCGCCCACCTTCGCCTTTCTTCTCCCCTCCGCTCACCTCCCCTCCCCTCCCGTTCTCCCTTTTTCACGTCTTGCGTACAGGCTGGGACCGTCGACGCGCACTCAAGTCCAGGCAGATGAGGGGAGCGCGGAAAGGGGAGGGAAAAGGCGGAAAGGGGAAGGGAAAAGCGGAAAGGGGAGGGAAAGGCGGAAAGGGGAAGGGAAAACCGGAAAGGGTACGGAAAAGGCGGAAAGGGAAAGGGGAAAGCGGAAAGGGGAGGAGAAAAGCGGAATGAGTAGGGAAAAAGCGGAAAGGGGAGGAGAAAAGCGGAAAGGGGAGGGGTAAGGGGAAATCAAAGGGGAAATGGGCGCTTCCCCGTTTCTCCAGTCCTCTACGTCCATTTGCCCCTATTCTGCCCTCTGCTCACCTCCACTCACCTCCCGTCCTCCTTTTCCGCGTCTCGCGTCCAGAATACAGTCGACAATCTGAAGTCACGAGGGGGAAAGCGTAAAGGGGATGGGGAAGGAGAAATTACCGTCACCTCCACTCACCTCCTTTTCCGCGTCTTGCGTCCAGGATACCGCCGACGCTGTGAAGTCGACGAAACGTGAGGTCTAATCGACGAAACGCGAGTCGCTACCAATGCATTAGAAATCGACGCTACTAATTCGTCCGCTACGAATGTTTCTAGTCCGTCCGCTACTACAGTTGTGGATAGAAGTCAGATCTGGAGCGCACAACTTAGACTGTCTTACCGAGACTGCAATAAGTTTCAGATCCGATACTGCTAGCATGCCAATAGAAGAGTAAAGTGATTAAAAATGAGCAAGACCGAGAGCGTGAGCTACATGAAATATTCCGCTGTCATGAAAAGCCGTACACCTAAACCTTGCATGCAAGTTATTGTGAGCTAATACATGTCACATATATCTGGGAAATGGCGGGTGAAGTAATAGTGGCAGGTTCGGAGTACCAGGTCTGGTGGTTGTGCCAGGGTGTCAAAAACACCTTCATTCCATTGGTTCCCGTAACTTTTCCTCACCCATCCATTGTTATTTCAGCTGCCCGAGAAACTTGATGAGAGTGCGGCCAATATCATTGACACTCAAAGTATGCTAGAGAAAGCTTGCTTCGGTACTCAACCAAGATTTCTGTAAGGAATTTTCTCGGCATTCCTTACGGAGCCGACTACATCGCGTACAGCAACAACCGATTGTTCGCCCGTTACTGCTAACGGAACTTCGCCGACTTCGCGCGCACTGTTTTGCCAAACCTCGCACTGCTGGCATGGCCGTATCGGCCTACGCTTCGGGACTAGCCCGAGCCTCGCTCCAGCGTAGCACTAGCAAGCTCGCACGCACCGCGTTACCGTTTTGCATGTTTCGCGTATAAATGTTCGCTCATGCCTTCGCTCACATTTTGTACTCGTTTGACACCTTAGTGCAATTCTCGCTACCTCGATTCATTGCACCCGTAACACTTGGTTATCAGAGCCCCTTTCTTTCGGACCGCGCATCTCCGCACACCAGGAAATCAACTTTTGATTTTTCACTCGAAGGGACTCACGCACCTTAGCCCCTAGGAGTCGCTGTCCTCGCGTTCTCTCGTAAACGCGTGCAGCCACGACTGCGCCTAGACTAAGACGAGCCGACGCCCTTCGTCATGGCCGAGAATATAGACGTCACCACTCTCACGCAGGAGCGTTTGAACGATCTGCTGCGACAACTGCACGAAAGCTCCGAGGAAATCGCGGCATTGACGGCAGAACGCTCATCACTGCAAAATGACCTCATGAGAGCACAATCTCAAGCACCTGGCACTCCGATTCAACCCGCACCCTCAACATCACAACACGGGAGTGTGGGGCAACCCGCGAGCGCGGCCAGTGATGGCGTCGTCCGCCCCGACGGAGACGACGACCACGGCACGACACACCCCAGAGCGACGCCTGCGGCCCCAAGTCAGCCTCGCGTCACGATTTCGGCACCAACCCACGATTCGGGACTGCCGTCACCGATGCCACTGAAGCCGCAGCGCCCGCCATGCTTTGACCCGAGTCAACGGGGTGGTCCTACCGTTCAGGCGTGGTTATTCACAATGAATGTCTTCTTCGACGCCAACTACGTCTCGGAGGACTCGGCGAAGATTCGATACGCCGTGTCGTTGCTGCGAGGACCCGCCATGGACTGGTGGCGCGTCATCGTCACGAAGCCGACCGACTACGCGACACTACCGACACGGGAAGGACAAACCGGACCCTGGGCGCCGTCGTATTTCGTGGAGGTGCCCCAGTATCGCACGTGGGACGCGTGGTGCGCAGGTCTGCGCGCTCGATTTGAGCCAATCGCGGCCTCGATCTCGGCGCGACAGAAGCTCCGCACTTGGCGCCAACTCGGTTCCGTCCAGGATTACACGAGCGGATTCCTGGCGCTATGCGAGCAGGTGGGCTACATGCATGAGAGCGAACGCATCGACCGCTACATCGGCGGCCTGAAGCAGGACATCGCGCAGGAAATCCAGCTTCGCGGCGTCACTGAGTTTCAGGAAATTCTCGCTATGGCGGAGAAGCTCGACTTCTTTCGCCGACCGAGACCGGGGTCCTACGGAAACAACACCTGGGGACATCGGCCTCGTGGGACGAACGAGAGCGCCACGATACGCGCCGTCGCCACAAATGCCGCTGCCGCACCGTTCAAAGGGCGCTGCTTTGCGTGCAATCGGCCGGGACATCGCAAGAGCGAGTGCCCGGAAAACGCTAAGGGAAAGGGGGAAGCTGAGCAGCAGACACAGACCAAGCAGCAGGGAAACGCTGGAAGTCAGTAGCAGACGGGCCCTCTACTGACAGGTCACGCCGCTCGCCCGACCCAACCGACCCTCACCGAGTGATTGTGCCGGTTCACGCAATCGACCACACCCGGCCGAATAAGGAGGGTACCACGGTAGATAGCCCTATACTGCTCAGTGGGAAAATTGGGACGGACTTAGTTAAAATCTTCGTAGACGGGGGAGCCAGCCACAGCCTCATTAACACTGCTACAGCACGGAAACTGCGACTGCCACTGGACAGATGCTTACCTGAGATCGACGCACGACTGGTAGACGGCACGCCGCTGGCGATACGGGAACGCGTAGACCGAGTTCGGATTCGATGCGGGGGTAACTTCACGTTTAGTCAGGAAATGCTCGCAATGACCCTCGAC